AGATGGCAGTTCTACCAGTAACACCCAGGGAGATAATTTCACAGAGGGGAACCCCCACTGATGTCGACAGTTTCACTGCACTGGGTCAGCAGACCAGGTACCTCTTTTCCACTTGCTTGATGACGTCAGTAGGCAAGTGGTCCCTCCTCAGTCTGTATTCTCTCTCTCTTTCTGTCAGTGTGAGGTATCTCTTTATTGTGTTCCTGAAAAATATCACCACAAGGAGAGCAGGAGAGAGAGCCTAGTGCTGGAAGGGGGAATGCCTCTGATGGTATTAGTTGCCTCTGGGTAGAGAATAATAGATAGCCTCTCTGGATGGTCTTCAAGATCTGGAGTCTGATGGGGAAGCTGGACGTGGACCCCTAGGTCTGTTTGTAAATAGTCCAGTGGCTTTTCAAAGGCGAGGAGGAAGCCCTGGGTACCAGGGGTGGACTCTGGCCAGGAGGAGTTTGTGTGCAGATGGGAGCCCATCCAGTGCCTGTCCTTCAGCTGAGCCAGAAACCCCAGCAAGCAGACTAGACAGAAAAAATTCCCACATACCCACTTGAGGCCTCTCCTGGGTCTAGAGATCAGAAACTGGTCTCCACCATTTTATCTTCTGAGCATGCACCTGGCAGGCACCCACAAAGTCTGCTTTTCTAGACAGACAAATGCCACATCCACCTACCTGTGGCACACTGTATATATGTGAGCTCCTGGAAGCCAGGGCTGGAAATCTTGTGCCCCTGGAGGCCTGAGGAGTGTTGATGTGGGGAAATGATGACCATTTCACATGTGCATGTTCGGTACTTAGCACAGTGCAACTTAGTGTATAGTTGCTTATCAGATAATAGTTACTATGAGGCTGGAGTGATAGGTGTAGGACCAAAGCATCAAGCTACGTGATTGTCATACTAAGGACTTTATACTATAGGCAATGGGAAGCCAATGAAAGTTAGGTTTTATTTTAATATAACAACTTAATATTGAGCTATAGTTCAAATACCATTCACCCATTTCAAGTGTACAGTTCAATGGTTTTTAGTATATTCACAGTTATGCAATGATCACAATTAATTTTAGAACATTTTTATCACCCCAAAAGGAAACCCATAACCATTAGCAGTCACTCCCATTTCCTCCCAACCCTTTCCCTCAGCTCTATGTAACAACTACTCTACTTTCTGTCTCTTTGTTTGCGTTTAAAAGCAGGGCAGAAATAAACAGATTTATGTTTTAAAGGAGCCTTCAGGTGGCCATATGGAGGATGTATTGGATTGGACAAAACTAGAGGCTGGGAAATCAGTTAAAAAGACTTCCTGAAACTGAGAGCTGAGAGCTTGAACTGGCAGTAGGGATGGAGAGGAGAGGATAATAGAAAGAGAGTAAATAAAAAGGTGAATCCCGACTTAGGTTCTTATAAAGAGGTTGAATTTTGGGGCTTTAGCTCTTGCAGGTGGAGAGAGATCCAGTTCTGGAGAGAGGTTGGGGCTGGAAGTAAAAATCTGTGAGGAAGTAAAAATTTGTGAATCATATGCTTATAGGATATGATTGAAACCAAAGGAGTGGGTGAGATTGCTTAGGAGGACAGTGTAAAGTGAGAACAGAGCTAGAAATTGAATACTGGGGAATGCCAACATTGAAGGAGCAGGCAGAAGAACAGGGGCTTGCAAAGTAGTTTGAGGGATGTACAGAATGGAGATCATGGAGGTGATGTCACGGAAATTGAGATGAAGTTTCAATTAAAAGGCAGTAATTGAGTGAAATGCAGTAGAAAGGGCAGGTAAGATGATTTATTTCTTCATGTGTCCATTGGATTTAACAGGGTTTTTTTTTGCTTCTGCTGAATTATTCTTAAGATAAAATGTCTTTCAAAGGCTGTGCACATCTTTATGACTTTCGCTTGGTATAGCTTTCCAAAAGGATTATATCAGTTCTCAATACCCCCATCAAGAAATTATTAAAATCTTATTGGGATGGTTTAGAACAATTTAGTAGTTATAAAGTGTTATTTCAAATCTATTTTATACTGGTTTTTGCCAATTTGGGAGCGTAAATATTCAAGTGCTTGTTTATTTTTGCCTTTTTTCATTCATTCATTCTACAGATACACTATTTTATTGAGCATCTTGCTGTGTCACTATTCCAGGGACTGTGAATCTAGCAGGGAATAAAACAGAAAAAAAAAAATCCCCTTATAAGAATGGTTGATACAGCTGTATTAAAAGTACAATCTCTTAGGTATTACATTAACTAGGACTTTTCAAACTAGCATGAGCAAACTTTGGGAGTATTTGGCCTTTGACTGGGGGAGGCTGAGAAGAGGTGCAGCCACTTGAAGGATGACCACGGTGCATTTTTCTTGGGAAGCAATTTAAGATTTGGAGTAAGAAAGTGAATTAGTAAAGCAGGTTTTATAATAAAAACATGAATATATTTATCATGGAATAGAATGCAAAATTTTATATGAGTTTTTAAAGATAGTTTTCAAAGAAATTTCCAACACTTGTTCCCAGACACTTCCCCTACCTCCTGCCTCCCCTGAGTATGCAGTCCCCTGTGCCTTGAGGGTACTTCCCTGGACAAACTTGAGAAGCATTAACAAACTATCCAAAACCAGCTTGGTTTATGATATACTGGACTATATAAATTCAAATGACTTACCACTTGTCATGGATTGAATCGTGTCCCCCCAAAATATCTGTCAACTTGGCTGGGTCATGATTCCCAGTATTGTATGATTGTGTACCATTCTGTAAATCTGATGTGATTTCCTTATGTGTTGTAAACTCTATCACTATGATGAGGTTATACTGATGAGGTTTACAAGATTAGATAGGGTATTAATCCAATCTCTTTTGAGATATAAAAGAAGCGAGCAGAGACACACGGGAGCCTCATACCATCAAGAAAGCAGTGCTGGGAGCAGAGCGCATCCTTTGGACCCGAGTTTCCTGTGCAGAGAAGCTCCCAGAGCAAGGGAAGATTGATGACATGGACCTTCCCCCAGAGTCCAGAGAAAGCGTTCCCTTGAAGCTAATGCCCTGAATTTGGACTTGTTGCCTACTGGACTGTGAGAGAATAAATTTCTCTTTGTTAAAGCCATCCATTTGTGGTATTTCTGTTACAGCAGCACTAGAGGATTAAGACACCACTGTTGTTCCACACTTTGTCTTGAGTTTTATAACTAAATTATTTTGCATTGTTATCTTTGAGATTTTTTCCTACCTGTAAAATGAGAGGGATTTTACTGTCAAAATCTAAAACACCTGCCTTCAAACTCTAAAAATGTATTTTGTGTAAAACTGATTATAGCCTAAAATATAGAAGCTCTGCTTCCTGTTAGAATATAAATAACGGAGTAATGTGTGACCAGGAATAAATAAAACACTGACTCCAAATGACACTGCTTTCTAAATTAGGTGTTTTTTTTTTTTTTTTTTTTTAAGTAGACCATCAACACAGTAAGGAATGATTTACAAGAAAAGCTTCTTTAACTTCCCAGAAACTATACCTTGAGAAAAAGGAAATATAAAAAGGCAGGTGTTTTGACAGTAGTGCATGCAAGCTCCTCTTAATTCACATTTGCACCTGCATCTTCGATTTGCAAAAGATGACGCGTGAAATTTCAAAATAGCAAAATGCCAGTTAATGTTACAATATTAATGTGGTTCAGTGCTCTATGCAGTAGAGCATGTTGCCTTGCAAATTTGGATCCTTAACCATTTCTAATCGTTACTGTAGTTAATATACTTGGTTTGAGTAAGTCGTAGTTATTAAACTTGGCACCTCTGCTAGAAATTTCTCCAGTGCAGTTCCTCCTTTCCCTTCTGTCTCTCTTGCGGAAGGACGGTCACTTTCTACTGTTGACTACCGTACTCATTAGGCAAAGCTACTTTGACTCTGGGCGAAATTCCCAGCCCACTCCGGTCTTCCTGCTTGTTCCTCCTGGTCTAGGGCCGCTTCACCATGCACACCGAATAATTCCCTTACAGAGAGGTGGGAGATTAAGCACTTTAAAGACCAGACGTAGACGGATTATTTCCCTTTCCCGTTCTAAGGGGATGAAAACCTTTTCACCTGTCCCACTCCTGCCATCTTGGAAGAAAATAGTTGAAATTCGGTTTCCTGACACAGTCTTCGCCACTCTGGTAGCTATGATGTCAGAGGAAAGACAGCTTAAATGTTTGCTTAAAAAATAACAGACCGCAAATTTATGGTCAGATTCGTCTCAAGTCCGAAGACCTCACGTCCTATTGAGGTGGGATACACCAAGGAGGGAAGAACTGCGACGGACAGAAAGCTGCAGAGAGGTGCCCCGGCCCGGGAATTTTGGGGCGGCTGGAGCTGACCCGCCGCCGCTTCCGACTGGCCTCTCGGCGAGCGCAAGAACTCACTTTCCCAGTAGGCCGCGCGAGGCCCTCCACGACCCGCCCCCTCGCGGTGAGGCGCTGGGCGCGCTCCGGGTCCTGTCACAGAGAGGCCCGCGCGCCCCGCCTGCGGCCCCACCCCCGGCTCCCGACTCCCTGCCCCGACTCCTCGGAGTTCCAGTCCAAGTTTCCAGCTCCCCTGCTCCGCCCACAGTCGCGCGCGCTCTCCCCGCCCCACCCTTGCCCCCTCCCCACGCGTGCGGCCGCCACAGCCAATGAGGTTCGGGGCCGCGTGCGCAGATTCAAACGGCGGCTCTTGAGGGAGGCTGGGCGCGAGATTCGGCGGTGCGGACAAAACCCTGCAGGAGGCTGCGAGCCCTGCAGTGCTACTCGCTGCGGGGAGGGGTGGGGGTCGGCGCCCGCTGCGAAGCCCCGCTGGGACCCTAGTGAGGAGGCTGACAGGCGGCGGGAGGGGCCGGCGGAGGACGAGAGCGCGCCTCCTGACATGTCGGGGGCATCCTTGACCCGACCGGGCCGGGGCTAGGAGCTGGGCTGCGAGTCGGGGGCGGGTCGCGTCCGCTCCTCTGTCCTGCCTTGCGGGGACGTGCGTTCCGCTCTCGGTTGCTTCGGGGCGGGTGCGAGGGAAGTTAGCGGGAGGGTCGGGGAGAAGGAGCATTCGCCTGAGGCTGGAGGAGGCTGAACTGCGTCTCCGCCCAGCCCGCGCCTATGCGGTACTTGAAGGATGGCGAAGAGGTCGCGCAGGTGGGTGACATCCCCTTGGCCCAGGCCTGTCGGCCCCATCTGTCTTAGATTCTCTTTCCCGTCCCTCCGTCCCTCACCAGGCCCTCCCCAGCAAGGGCAGAGTATTTCTTCCCGTTGCCCCACGGCCGCTTCGGCCCCTCTGTCCGATGGCCGACGCGGCGTGTGGAGAGTTGGGAACCACTGTGATTAAGACTCAGAAAGTGAGTAACAGATGTCCAGGTTGCTCCTTTGAGCTGATTGTCCCCACAGCGCACGTCCAGACTCTTAACTACTCAGAGCCATTTCTTGGTGGGAAAGGGTTTCTTGCCAGGTAAGTCTGCGCGCTTTCAGGGAACAGCTACGCAGATACAAATGGTAGTGTCCTGCCTGGATGACTTGAACACGGGGCTCAGAGGGACTCTCTTTTCTGAATCACTGTACCCGTTAACTAGGAACTCCTTGATAAACCTGGGCGGGGACCCCACTCTCAACTTGGCTATCTTGAAAGGTATGGAAAATTCTCTGAGGAATAGCTGAAGAGAAAGGACCTTTCTGATATTTTCTGTAATACCGTACCCATTCTCTCAGCTTATGTATATTTTAAAATATTTTTTACTGGGAGGATGTCACAGTGTTACTATCAATAGCTTGTGTTTAAAATAAAACAATTTGTTTCATTCACTTAATATTTTGAGTGTCCATGTTTGGCTCTGACTGTACCTATGCGTTGCACAGAGATAGGGCACATTTTTTTTTTGTTGTTGGGAAATGCTAGGATGAATTTATGCATGTAATTTTTATTTATGTATCACTATAGTAGCTACTTCTAAATTGTGTGGAGTAGTCACTTAAATGATTGAAACAAAAAAACCTAGGGTTTTTTTTTTTAATTTTCAGTGTTATTATGTAAACCTGAAAAGATATTTGGCATAATTTCCCAATATTTTTATTTATCTGGATCCACAGCTTCAGAGTCTTAACTAGGGATGTATTTCTTCAGCTGAAATTTATCACTTGGATTCATTTACTGAAGATTCTGTTAAAAACTCACAGTTGGAAGTAACTACACATACTATGTTTTATTCATTTTTTAAGCACCAAGTATGCACAAGGAGACCTGGTGGCGCAGTGGTTAAGAGCTCATTTGCTAACCAAAAGGTTGGCAGTTCAAATTCACCAGCCGCTCCTTGGAAACCCTACTCTGTTATACTCTGTCCTATAGGGTCGTTATGAGTTAGAATTGACTCGATGGCAACGGGTTTGGTTTGGGTTTTAGTATGCACAAAATATTTTGCAGAAATCAACATAAAATATAATTAAGTCCTTGTTTGCTTATTATTTTGTAGCAACTACAGTACAGGACAAACCCTTGAGGTAGATAAATGTATACACACACATACATATAAAAACCCACTTATCCACAGTAGGATTTTCATCCTCAGTGCTGTTGACATTTTGGATGGAATAATTCTTTGTAGTGGGGGGCTGTTCTTTGCCTTGTAGGTTGCTTAACAGCACCCCTGGCCTCTACTCAGTAAATGCCAGTAACAAAAAAAAGTCTCTAGACATTGCCAAATGACCCTTGAGGGACAAAATCACCTCTGGTTTAGAACCACTGGTCTAGATCTTCAAGGACTCAACCTCTTGATCTTCAGAAAAGATAGATTTTAAAAGCTCCCGCAATTACGATTAGTGAAGTATACTGAAGTACTGGTTTAGGCCTTTTCATTTGAATTTTTAAATACAATTTCATAAATTAACTACATTAAGCAAAGTGACAAGTGAATATTTATGTCAACTCAACAAAAGTTTACCTTCAGTGTGTGGCATTATCTACTTATTAGTATCGATGTTAATTTTATGTGGAACAGTTTCCTGTCTAATGCAGTTACCAGTGTTTAAAGTTATGGCTAGACATGGATGTTTGGATGTCAGAACCCTCCCCTCCCTAATTGGTTTTCTGTCCATTTTATAATCGCATATGTTATTTTCTGTTATTGACAATTCTGTGAGCTTTGAGATCTAAACGTAAATTGCACTGTTGATTTTAATTCTTTGTCAACTATATAAGTTAAAACAATGATTTGAAGAGTCACAAGTGTGCAATAATGTGGAGTGAAGTTGCAGTCTGTTAACGAGAGTATACAGGTAAAGGATGTGGTGAGAAATTATCTCAGAATAATTTCTCAGATTTCTTAGGGTCTTCATATTTGAATATGTTTACTGCTCTAAATTATATTTCTTGTATATGTAAGTATGATTATTTACCGTAGAGGGTAATAAAATGTGAAATGTTTTAAAAGAGAAACATTCTATTCATTGAGTAGTCTTTTGCCTTTTAGCTAATAAGTATCTTAAAAATATACATGAACCTATTTATAGTCAAAAGAAAAAGGAAATAATTCAACCACTGCATACTGTACTTTGAGATCGCCAATATACAACCATTTAAGTATCTGAGTAAAAAATATACTTTGCTGTTTAAAAGTTTTGCATAAAACTGTAGGCATAAATCCTGTAATATACTTTTTCTCTGTCAGCTGAAAAAAAAAAAAAGAGTAAAAAAACTAAGTGTTAACTCAAGTGTGAAATAACTGAGGGATGTTGGCTCTTTTGATCGGTGTTCAAGATAGCTGTGGTATCACTAATTTAGATTTACATAAAGGAAAAGGCTCATTTTATTATTGTGACTTTAATTTTTGATCCCACTGGGGGTTTTCATTACATAATTTACAGACAGTACTAAAGTTGATATTGATCTGTTATTAACATGTATTTGATTGTTAAGCATATTTATGCACAAATAATTTGTTTTTAAAAGCCATTTCTACTCTTAAAAATAAACTTTTTCAAATGTCATTTAGAAGCTACAAAGATAATGCTGGGTCTTGAATTGGAAGATGTTTGTCAGTGGGGTGTGTATGTGTAGGAAGCAATTTTATTATGTTTCCGGCAAAATGGGTGTTGTAGGTGAAAGAATACCTAAATAGGAGGCTGATTCTTTAGTCAGCTTTGTTATTATGTGACTGTATTGTTTTGGGAAAGCAGTTAAACCCTGTTCCCCAGTTTTTCATGTCTTAATTGGACTAGTTGATCTGTGAGGTAACTTCTAGCTTTAAAATATGCCCTATTTTGAAGACCTATCTTTTCCATTTAAAAGTGTACGCACATCAATGGAATCAAGAGAAATGGTCTCCCATTATTTTTGTTTATAGATATCTGGGTAGAACTCTCTCAATATTTATTTAAGTATTGCTGTTTATAATGGTCAAAGATTGTATGAAAAATTTGTCTTACTATAATGATACTGGTTTGCACAACCGAGATACGAGAATAAAATATTCATGGATGCAGTACATCATATTAACCACTGGGTGGCCTGATTTCACTTTATTAAATCAACCTGGTCAATTCTCATACCTTGAATGGACTTAAAAAATTAAATGTACAGTTACCCTGTCCTCAATATAAATTATAATAAAGATGTATTTTTTGATGATGATAAAGGTTTCAGACTTGAGGCCATTTGTAGTTAAAAATATGATCGAGTTGTCATTTTATTTGAGCCAATTTTATAGAACTACTGATAGTTCTTTAATTTCAAACCAGTAGTTCCTTTTCACATAAAAATAAAAATTTAAAAAGTCTCAGATTCTTCCTTTGGCTACTTCATTTTACTCTTTTCAGGTGATATAATTGGTATTCTTTAAAGTTAAACTTCTGCCAAATGTTTTAGCTTAGTAGTACTGAGCGAGTAATTTGTATGTTCTTTCACAGGCCGAGTCATGACTACCACATCCTGATAACTTACACCCAGTGTAAAGTTACTCTTAACCATTTTCCTGGCCTATTGAGTTATAGTATTTTTTTCCTTTGCTTCATTTTGCTGTTTCATAATCACCCTAATCACTTTGTTCATTCAAAATCTAGAAAACTTTCTATTTGAATTTGGTTTTGTATTAGATAGTTGTAAAATAAATATTTTCTTTGACTTAGAAAACTGACAGAATGATTCTGGAAACCACGTCTTGGACTGGAGATTCAGTGACCAAATTCCTCTTCTATTTTTGCTTTGAGACTGGAGAAATGATTTCACCTTTTTTGCTGCTTTTAAGATTAGTCACTCTAGGCTAGAAATGGCTTATTTATTTAACTACACAACAGGAAGCTGATTCTGTTTAATTACTACATATTACCAAAGTTGATTGCTACAACACAAAAATGCTAAGACATGTAAAAAAGATGATATAAAAAGAAAAATAGAGCAGATCTGTTTTGATCGTGTTTAACCATTATTGAGAGCCATGGTGGCACAGTGGTTAAGAGCTCGCTACTAACCAAAAGGTCACACTCCTTGGAAACCCTATGGGGCAGTTCTACTCTGTCCTATAGGGTCGCTGAGTCGGATTTAACTTGACAGCAACGGGTTTGGGTTTTTTTTTTTAACCATTATTGAGCAGTGAGTCTTTTTTAAATGGTAAAAGTAGAATTTTGGTGAGGTTACTTGTGGGGTTTTATCCCATCTGTTTTGTTCTTGGCAAATCATAAGCATCCTCGGGAGTCTTCCTATTGTAGCTAGTGGTATTGGTAGGTTTCTAGGATCTTTTTCTGTCACATTTATTGAAAAGTTCTGTTATCCTTTCAGCAATCTCTTAAATATATAGAAAAAATTTTATGCCAAAACTAGGCAGTAGATAGACTCTAGGAAAGTCCCAGTAATAGAGAGATGATTCGAAGAATTCTACTTTAATGCTCCCTCACACTCAACAACTCAAAAAACCCAGCTTCCTGAATATTGAAAGGCTGTGTAACTCTGTGTCTGAAGCTAGTGATCATGCAAAATAGAGAATGAAACCTCACGTAGAAATAGAAATGCCTCACAAAGAGTATGTAGTTTAAAAAAGGCAAAATTATGAAGTTAAAATGAATAAACTTTTAGGAAAATTACTCCTTGGAAACTAGTCTCTTTGACTAACATTTTTGGATTCAACTTTTTATAGTATTCAGGTAAGACAGGTAAA